GGACTACTGATCCTAGCACGATGCACAACCATAGAACGAAAGGACCAACAGCCCATGAAGGCAGTGCTCAATTGAGGTGTTCGTTCGTCTACTCACAAAAATGATACTCGTTATGCTCTTTGCTTGTTAAGGCCCTTTTTTCTATGCTCACGGCTGGTAAACGGTGATTTACAAGTGTCTCACTGAGAATGACTCGGAGGGAAGTCGTATCTGGCGGTTGTCAGTGTCATTTTGCTCCCGGATGCTAGGCGAGACAGCCTGAGATTTAAAGGATGATATCGTCGCTTTACCGGTGCATTAGTGCGGAGCATCTGCGAACATCTGAGCACCTTGGTGAGCTTGTTATTAAAGGCAGTGTCCGAACAAAGTCGATTTCGAGATTTTGTGCTTACTTGGGTCTGTTCGCTATGCTGAATCCGAAAATCCACATTGGAGAGAGCGAAAAGACAAAAAGGGCTCTCATGCAGGAGGGAAATCAGAAGTGGGCGGGGTCTTCACTTTTGTGAATTCATGGCCCCAGCTTCCAGAGCGATCTTCTCAATTCCGCTAGCCACTCTGACATCTCCACAGGCCAAGTGCGAATTGACTTGAAATCGGAACCGGAAAAATCGCTTCGGGAGCTGGGAACCGTGAATGCACAGTGAGGAAGACCCCGCCACTTCTGATTTTCCTGGGGTGGTAGTAATCTAGTCGAAACTCCGAGTTCATAGCTTTGGTCAACTCAAAGATAACTCTGAGTTCCATTTATGAAACTCAGAGTTATGCTTATTCAAACTCTGAGTTCCGCTCGAATTTCCGACTTCCAACTCTCAAGCTCGGAGTTTTGATGTTTGAGGATGTCAAAGTTGGGACTCGATGTACGGTCTATCGCAAAGATCCTATCACTAAACCGCTTGAAGATCAATGTTGCTTTGTCATGATGTACAATTGATTCAACTGGCTGAGCTTCGGCAAAGGCGAAGCTTCGTGACCTAATTAAGGCTAGGTAATGATCAGAGAGCACTCGCGCGCGAGAGACGCAGGTGCGTCGCGGGCGCGAGCGGCCTCAATTAGGCCACAAGGCCCCGCCTTGATGATGCCAAGCCAGTTGAATCAAAGATACTCATTGCTTTGACACAAAGCAAGTCAAAACATGATAGAATCAAAGCCTCACTCACTTTCATTTCTGTCGAGAAGTGGTGGTTTATCGCACGATTGGTCTTTTGCGCAGCTGAGAGCTAAACAATAGTGAGAGCGAATGGCATACGCAATGATAAGAATGGACTATTAAGATTTGCGCACAGAATAAACGTTCCGCGCATAGTTCGGTCTTATTTTATAAATTGGCCCACTTATCGTATGCCTACCGTACCCCTGCCAGATGGCACCGCTGCGAGAGTAGTGGAAAAGTGTTGTTGGTGTGTGGTGGTGAGTGTCAGCGCGCCGAAACCTCACGAGTCGAATTTTAGTCATGTTTATGACTTCGTCCCACTTACCGTATACCTACAGTAATCACCTCAAATGACGCCAGTGTAGTAGCAGAGAGAAAGTGTGTGATCTGCGCCTTGCATAATCCCACCGGTCCAAGTTTCGACTAAATTTGTGAATTTCTCCTGTCTACCGTAAACCTACTGTAACCTTGCCAGATGTCACCGCAGTATAATTAGCCTGCCATATTCGTGATCAGCTCCCCCGAATAACCCGGTGTACCAAGTTTCGGCTAATTCTGCCGCTTAAACTCAATTACCGTAAACCTTGCCAGATGCCATCGCAGTATAAAATGAATGCCATATTCGTGATCAGCGCGCCGATTAATCCCACCGGTCTTAGTTTTGGCCAGTTTTGTGATTTTCTCATGTCTACCGTAATCCTACCGTAGGCCAAATCCCATGGTGAAAAATTAGTGCCACATTCGTGTTTAGCGCATCTAATAACCCCTCTCGTACAACATTTTACAAATTTTCAAAATTTTGTGCTGCGCACAACGATACCCCTATCATGCCTGCTGAATTCACGAGCAAAATGTACTCTGGAGGACTTTTTAGCTGCCCTCTTCTTTTGCGCACTATTTCTGTTACTCTAACCAAACTCAGAATTATCGCAGAGTTCGGTGGCGCTGTTTCATGTGCAGAACGGTTGGACAATGTTGCGCTAATAGGAATAAATTACCGGTTACGGAGTATCCTGCCATATCATCGTTTTCCAGATTTGATCTGATCCAGCATCTGTTAAAGGCAGTGTCCCGGCAGATTCGGGTCCTAGCGGATATACATGTGGTGGGGTTCCTGGTCACCCCACCGACCTCCAGGCGCAGTCCGGCTGGGTGATGTTCCCCCTGGGCCGAGAAAATGGCCCTTGAACCGGCGCGCGCATCCCCAACTGGCGCGCGCTTGGACGGCCTTCCTTTTCTGTTCGGTGCGGGACCCCACGAACGCTCTCCCCCATGATGCATGCTATCCAAAGCAAAAATTACAGGCGGCAGGGTCTTCGTCTGAGGACCTCGCCCAACTTTCCATCAAAAATCTCGTCCGAGCTGCTTTTTTGGAATTAGGAAAACACCCCAACTCGGCCTTTTCAGCCCGTTCAAAGCTCAAATTCGGATTCTACGTGGCGAAAAAACCTAAATGCAAAAAGGTGGAGGTGCAAAATCTGCCGGGACACTGCCTTCAAGGGGGTCGGAAAGGTGCGCGTTAGCTCAGAGATAACTCACAGTTAATTCTGAAATAAAACTCCGAGTTTCGATAGGTTTACTACAGACACTGATTTCTTTCTTCAGAGTCAATGAAAATGTGCCAAAGTTTTACTGATTATCTAACCAAACCGTGCTAAGCACGTTTCAGATAACAGCAAATGATATAATGAAGTCATGAAGATGCGATGAACCACAAGTCCAAAGTTGTGGTATCGGAAATTGCGATGTTTTTTTAAATTGTTCTTATCAGCAACACGCTTAGCGTTGAGTTGGATAATCACTAAAACCTCGGATGTTTGTGTTAACTCGAATAAGGAAAATGATTTTGAAGAACATTAGGGCGCTGGGGATCATCTGGGATCATACAAAAAGCTGGAAAATGCGGCTTGTGCAGCTTCTCGCTCCTATACAATGCGTTCGATGTGAAGGTTAGTAGGAAAACTTATGGATGGTCCAAACATCTAAAGCTCCCAATTTTGAAACTTTCTTCTAAACTGCGATCCCCTCCCCAGCAGGGATGTTAATGTATGCGGCCCTAAGTCAATACGTGCCTAGTGAGTTTTACTGTGAATAGGTACGAACTCCACGAATGGACTCTCACTACAAACATTCGCAAGTGCACGAAAAAAAAGTCTTCCCGAAAAAAAAGTGCAGTCAAAGAAACCAATGCAACAAGTTCTTCTCCTGCCATTATAAATCGTAACGTACACGCTAATTCCTTTGCAGTCTTACACAAGCCTTTCTTTTGACAATAAAAAGACCCTTTTCGATGTACTCACATTTCAAGCGACTGTATTTCTGAAGAAGAAGTTTTTGGTCTTCAGCCATTTACCACGATGATTGCTTTGAACCGGAATCGTTATGACTGCCACATAGAAGTAATAATAACAATTTCCATTGTATTGCAGCCATAATTGCAACTTTTACTTATAATACTGCACGAAAACATGTTTTGTCTGATCAACAAAAAATATGCTCCGCCCTTTCATTCACCCAAGATTCTTATTAAAAGCGACTTCAGAAGTTCCAAAGACCAAGCTCCACCAGAAATAATCTCTTGTTCTCATCAGGTATCCATAATTCCCCTAATTCTTTTCTTGCAATTCATAAACTCACATCATGTTCACTCGGCTACTTCCGACAAGTGCGAAGAATGCTTATGTTTTTGTAGATTCGCAATTTCTTGCTACCTCGACCGTTTTACGTTTTACCAGTACCGTTATGTAGAAAGAGGTAAATGTGCTTTGCAGACATTTGCGGTTCTGATCGCGCAGATAAAAATAGAAAAAGAAGTCTACCGAGCTTTGATCATTAGATGAAAAGTAACTCCTACAGAGCTAATGGTTCAGCTGTTTCTTGAGCGAGCAAAACTGGTGCTGATCAAACTTCCTTATGAAGAATCATGACTTTTTATTCAAAAAAGAATTGGAGAATTCCTGTTATTTTTTTAGAAATCAAACTGACTATCCACAAACGAAGTATCAAAACAAACTTGGCTCAATCAAAACATGTAGATCACAAATCCTATATTGAGAATTTCAATCTTTTACAATGATTGCGGTTTTTGGCGGACTTTTCTAATGTTAGAATGATTGAAAATTGAGTGATGCTTTGGTTTCGTTCATTGCTGCAAAGTGTTTAGTATAAAGCAGGGTGCTTGCAAAATAAGTATTATATGATACTTCCACTCTTCTTAGAATTCATACTTTCATCAATTCTTAAGGTCAATGAAAAACGAAGTATTCAAACACACGAATATACTGTGACACAGCTTGTTACCTCACCAACATATGAAAAAGCTATCCTGTAGCTTTGCGGCTTGAATAAATCAAAAATTCAATTTTTTTATAATTTACCCTTTACCCAAATTTTGAGTGATCGTTGTCGAGTTGCTTCATTTCCAAGTGAACCAGTACTCATTTTATAGGGTCAATTCTTTTGAATGGCTTGTTTCAAAAAATCTACTTAACTTGACTTTTCTTTCAGGAAAATGCGAACTATGTTCTACCTTCTTTTTATTGCTGTCTTCTTGATCAAGGCAGTAGCAGCAGACTCGATTGAACTTGACTTCCCACAACCTATCGGACTTGACGCATTCCATTCAAACGAGCAAAAAATGGATCTCGTAAGGAGTAGAAGCAGTGAAGAACACTTGAAAAAATTATTTTCTTTGTGAGCTTTTAATGGTTCATACTTTTACGATGACCTTTCGACGATATGATATTGTAAACGAAAATAGGTTAGGCTATTCGATTATTAAATATGAATTTTCTACACAAAGAACTGTCTTTACGATGCAAGAAGAAGACTGAACAAAAAATGTTTATTCGCTAGATTAGAATTACGGTAGATACAATTAAAAAGTTGAATTAATACAGTGCTGCCGAATTTGGAGGATTGTCCGGAGTCTCTCTCTCACTTTTGCTACTAAAACGAAGCGAGCGAACAATGTATGGTGTTGATTCCAAATCACAGGGTGCTCGAAGGCTTTCTTGAGTCCTGAAATATGCATCCACTCTAGAGGCGTAGCGAAAATCTTTCAAACCAACGTTTCTGTAGATAGATTCTTCTTCTTTCTGCGGGCTGTTCGTGTGGATGGCGGAGGCGCGAAAGGTCCTCCGGGTGGAGTAGTTGCACTGCTTCTCGTCTGGAACAGGGAGGTTCAAAAAGTTTTACATACAGTCGAGAAGATTTTCCGCTTTATATGCAGTATGTCCCAAAAAAATGTATCCACTGTTTGATTGTTAATAACTCTCTTATTATGAGGTCTTTTGAAAAAAGGTAAGCGCCATTTTGTAGAGCTGGCTTCAACTCAAATTTGCAGTATAGAACGAACCACCGATCAATCTTCATTACTGTAGGATTACGGTAGAAACTTGGAACATATGGGGTCACTGTGGAAAAAGCTGCCGTTCCAAAAATTTTCAAGAAGATGTGAAAACTTATGTAATGGGGTAGGGACGCTGAGTTCAATACTCAACTACTCTCGAGTTGCGAAGCTTTCTAAACAATGTAACTGCACTTTTAGGAACATTGAGAAAATGGCCGCTACTGCTTACCTCGCATAACTCTTCAGTGAATGAAGCATCATAATAAGTTGGGAACTTTACAGTTAGAATCAGCAACTCTAATTGGCCTAGTGCAAAAGTTTTTTAGGCTGTTCTGATTCCTTTCTGAGGCAAAATATGGCCTTTTATGGCCCAAAACCCTCTTTGAAGTCTCTACCGTAATCCTACAGTAACGGAGAAAGATAGACGATTCGCTCTATACAGTAAATCTAAGTTGAGGCCAGCTCTATGGCGCTTACCGCTTCTCGAAAGACCTCATAATTAGAGAGTTATTAACAATCAAACAGTGGATAAATTTTTTTGGGACACCGTGTAGTATGCTTGCACAGAAGGTGAAATGCGGTAAATTTTGCGCGTGAATAGATAGCTTCGACTGTAACGCCGGCCAATTGCGCGCGCCAAATGCCGGCAGTACTGGCGCTGCTATTTATTCATGCGCAATTTTCACCGCATTTCACATTCGGTGTAAGCACACCATATTGAGCGGAAAATCTACTCAACTGTAGGTTTTGTTTGTGATTACCTTATCAACAACTGACGACGTTGCGGTCATAAGGTCATCTCTTCTTTTTTTCTTTCGTCGTTCATAATCGAGGTCCTGCATTGAAACTTTGACATTGTGTATCTATCAATTTTATGTCCTCTGCACTAAACAAGTTCAGGACAAAATGACTCAAGCGCCATACATAATTAACTGCACCTTTAGCGCAAACTGATAGATGTAAGATTTTGAAGCGATGTAATACGTCTACAGCAATAAAAACGAACCATTTTCAGAAATTGGAGTTGTTCGGTCGTACAGCGTGTTTCGAGCGGCACCAGTCCTTCGACGTTGCGCTTAGAACGCGGTGCTGCGCTGGAGTGCAGGGTAGGGGAACGGACTCGGCCATTTTGGGCCGCCTTTGCGAACTATTTGGCTTCTAACGACATGCAACAGCATCGCTAAAGGACCAATTGCCCGCGAAAGCGGCCCAAAGCAGCGGAGTTGGTTCCTGTTTAGTCAAGCATCTCATGCGACAGTTCGTCGATAGGCTCCATTCTTTGCGGATGGCACGAGACGCAGCTACATGTTACTTGTAAAGGTGCGTGCTTGTTGCAGATGTGCGCGCGCAACCTCCCTTTTCTGCAACATGACATACTCTATTTTCCTACCTGATTTTGCGTGAAACAGTCACAGATCCAGCGCTTTCTCTGTTCCGTCTTCTGTTTCACGCAAAGCCCATTTGAAATTGTCTATAGTCAATCCTAGAAGGGCGTAGGCCCACTCTCACAACCGTAGTCGCCAGGAATATTTCATACAGGACATCCGCGATAGAGCGCAGGGGTCGAAAGGCCTGCTCCTTGCGCGGCGTATCGAGACACATGCAGGTTGCGCTGGGTGCTCTAGTGCGAGAAGGCCTATAAACATCTCAAAAGCATGCTCGACTCTGCAACATTAAAGAAGCAGTTTTGGGATAGCACCTCAAAAGGTGAAAAATAGAAGAGTACAACGCCGAAAATGCAGCGGTGGATTCCGCTGGTACCGCTCTCCTTCCCTGTATTATCTCGTCGTGATTGTGTCGGGACCCCGTGCGGAAGATTAAGCGTGAAGTGTCCGGTGGGCATCAAAACATCAACGGACATGCAGATATATGCACCGTAAAACTCAATTGCCCGCGCTGTGCCTTGAGCACCAGCGCAAGCGAACGGTCTCGCGAACGACTGTCGGCGTTCAATATATTCCAAGAAATCTTTCTTTGACTTTCATGTTGTTCTGTCAGTGCAAGGTATAGTAAGGTTCAACTCGGTTTAGGCAGAAATTGGACTGGTGAGAGTCCGCCTTGCAACGATTCGTGCTTCTTTGCAATCTGCGTCTCTTCATTCTAATCTATCTCGCTGAGCTAATGGCGGTGCGAACGCGCTGCTCCACTCAAAATGTTTTGCCTACTCCGGTTTAAAAAAAAACTATATATCTTGACGAAAGCTCCCTTCAAAAGTTGAAAAAAATAATGTGTGGAAAGGGTGCGCGCTCATTGTCGCTCGCAAACAGCCTGTAGCGCTTCGGTACCAAACGTTTCCAGCCGCGCCGCGTGTTTGTGTTCAAAGCGACGCGTGGGCAATTGGATTTCGCGGAGCCTGTATCTGATTGTCAACCTTTTGGGACCAAGGCCTTTTACAAAAGTCAACATATTTTACAAATTGCGCACACTGCCATCTACAATCTAACTTTATAGAGTAGCTTCAAAAGACTAACAGAAGAGATGGAGAATCTTGAATCCAGCGTACAGGAAAACTTTTGGAATGAGTCTATACCGAGATATACTATCATTTTAACGAAATTTGAGCCTTGACACACTATGGGTGTCAAGAGTTCTCGAATGGTAGTCATTGCTTGATGTACGGTTATTGTCATGTGACTCCAGTATCCGTGAAGGGAAAAGCAACTTATTACCGATATTTTGTGTCTGAGTTTTGAGCCATGACTCTCATCTCAATGTAACAAACATATGCGACGGCAAAATCCTTAGGCCCCGGGCAGACTTCACGCGATTTGATCGTCGCGACTGAATCGCGACGAGACAACTGTTACAACATCATTCCATGCCGATCAACTCGCGTTCGGTTGTGATACTTTTCCAACCTGAAATTTTTGAATGTGAAATGAAAATGAATGGAAATCTTGGCGATTAGATCGCGACGAGACAACTGTTGCAACATCATTCCATGCCTATCAACTTGCATTCGGTTGTGATACTTTCCCAGCCCGAAATTTTTGAATGTGAAATGAAAATGAATGAAAATCTTGGCGATTAGATCGCGACGATTAAGTCGCGTGAAGTCTGTCCGGGGCCTTAAACGCAGCTACTTCAACATCAAAATGAAGGTGTCTCATTTATGTAAGACGTTCCGCTGATTCCAAAATGTAGCTTGGAAGGCGCAAAATTGTCTGTGGGATATACGCGCATTCAACTTCAATTGAAATCGCTACATGGGTGGAGTGAGGCGCTTTTGGAATCCCAGGCTCGGCAAAGGCGCTTTTTTGTGCCGGGTTTTACTGATAGCCAAATCAAGAGGCCACTGCAGCGTTAGATTCCAGCAGCTTCCATTTTGCCGGTGCTTCCATTTAAATTCACAGACACAGTCGTGGAAAAATCCAACGGAGGTATACTAAAAATAAGTTTTAAAGGACGTTTCTTGCCTCAAATAAAGGTCGTTCTGATCCGTGCTCCCTTTGAGTTTTGTCGTCCATGCGATCAATATCATCGGTGCTCTCCTCCTCAAAATCATTTCACTCAAAATTTGCGTCCAACAAAATGAGGAGTATATAACTACTTGAGTCTTGTCCACTCCACCTTCCTTTGATAACATTCCTGCAATTCGCATGAGCGATTTGGAGGCTTCTACAACTGGAGTCTGAACAAGAAGCTTCCTTGCACATTTCGTGGTCTATGGACATGCTTCATTCACCTTGTACAGCTTCTTACGCACACGAGGCAGAAAAACAAAATAATGGTAAAACAGAAGTCCAGCTGTGAAAATGAGCATTTCAGCAACATACACGGCCCCCGTTGTGATCTAAAATAAATGCTATGTGAAAAAGATTTGGTCTTAGTTGAAGTATACCATAAACGTGAAGAACTGTGAATACCAGTCATTCGTAGCATCCACCAGGCCGAAGTAGACCTTCATTGCAAATGAGGATCACTGTTTGAACCTTGTTCAGGTTTAATCGCTAATAACCACAAGACAACCTTACAACTGTTTATAGCGTCAAGATAACATAATCGAATGAGACATAAGTTAGAATTACACATATTATTGCTTGTTTGAAGCGCCGTTTCAAACAAGCAATAATATGTGTAATTCGTGGAGGTCTTGCTTGTAGGAACAACGACGAGAGAGAATGCCGAAGCCTTCTCTCGGTATGCCTGGTCGCCTCTGCCCCGCGCTCCGCCCCTCATGATAATCGTGATTATCACGACACTCCGGGGGCGCTGTTTTGTTGACGCGGTTTTTGACCGCCCTCCCGGCGCGAATGAAAAAAATTGGCAAAAACATACAAGCAATAGCACAACAATCAACGACTATTATCACGATCGATTATTATCGCTTATCAAATAAGTTCCATTTTATCTTCTTCTGTCCTGGCTTCCATTGCTATGATCTAATTAGAAAACCTGAAATTTCAATAAATTTTTAAATTTTCCCTTCTGTAATTTTGTGATGGCCAATGTCGCCTTTTTATTTTTTATTTATTTTATTTATTTCTTTTTTGCGGCCTTCACTTCTTTACACCTTGCTTATTTTCCCTTTTTACCACATTCACCACTTTTGTTTCATTTGCCACGTTGTTACTTTTGTTCAGTTGAGGTTTGGAAAAAAAGGAGAGCAAACAAGGTGTTGCTAACACGAATTTTTACACGAACGTCACCAATCATGATTTATTGGCAAGAATAACTGATAGAACAGCAGAAATCATTCAAACGATAAATTGGCGCGTTTTCGTTTCTTCGGCGTTGTGGTGCTATGCGGAAGTTTTCTTTTTTTTTTGAAAATATGTATTGTTTTCAGTTTTGACACATGCGTAGCTAAAGCTATCATGTTCTTTCAAGCGGACTGTCATTTTCGAGTTCCTTATGAAGGTATCTCCAAGGAACGGCATGGGTCTTGTTTCGATTGATGTCGCTTCTGCCGAAATTTTTTCAAAGTTTTTCTAGAGATTTTGCTTGAGTTCTATCGTGTACCTTTTCGGTCTTTGTCGGAACATCGTTTGTTCAATTGAGAGCCCCACTTTTACTAGCCATGTAGGGCAGTGAAAGATTTCATAAAGTTCCTTGTGTATTGGGACGTGATAAATCAAAAAGGTCCTGACGACGGAAAGCCGCAGGAGCACTCTAGCCCGCCACAGGATTCTGTGCAGTATGTAATGCCTGTATAATTGTTTGACATGGCTAACTCTTCTATCTTGGATTCTGGAGTTATTTTTGCGCACTTGAGTCCTGAACACGTACCCATATGCGGGCACCGTTTACTGAATTGTATGCGCGTTTCCGTGTTACGCGTGTAGTAAAGTGTTTCTTTGTTGCATCTCAGAATGACTTCTTTGAGTGTTATCTTTGTTTGTGATATTGTGTTGTTGCGATGTCGCATGCGAAAACACGCTTCCAGCTGCATTGAGTTTAGTTTCAACAGTAATTCCTTTTTTGTGCTGCAACCACTTTCTGCTGTGCATCGTGTTATGTTTGTTTGCACTACTACAATTTGCTGACATGCTGTTGTTTTTGCAATGATATTCAGTAGTATCAATGATATGGTAAGAATTTTGACGAGAGTAGAGGCTTCCATCTTTCCTGAGATCTTGCGCGCACTTCTACGAGTGGAATGTCCTTGTTAGTTTTTGTGCCCCTTTGGCCTATTGTGGAGCAACATACGTAGAGAATATTCAGTCCTAGCGCAATGAGTTTATTAGCACTTCTACGAAGACATCGTCTCAATTTCTTAAGACATAACAGGGCTGCTAACAAGGTGATTATGATTGTGTAACTAATGATTGCTAAGACTAAAACGGTAGTTCTGGGCCAGCAGTGTGGGTTGTTGATCATGATGGAGCAAAATGTGCATTTGATTTGTTCGCAAAACGGATTTGGTGGACATGTGAATTGAAATGCTTGTGTAACATCGGACGACAAAGTTTTTATTAAAACATTGTGTTTGTGTAGTATCACTTCGGGTTGTTTCATACTGCCGCACTGACTGCAGCAGTCTGCACTGACCGCAGCAGATTGCAGCAGACTGCAGCAGAGTGCAGCTGACCGCACTGACCGCAACGACCGCAGCGGCTGAAGCCTGCAGGCGGAGAGGATAAATAGCTGTGGTTCAAACAAACAACAACAATATATACGTAAAAGCAAATGAAAACACGGTTTAGAATGTTACAAAACAGGTATATGCAATGATAGGAGGAATTAGAACAAGTACGAACATACCAAAGAAAACTATCGCCAAAATTTGATTGAGAAGAATTCTGATGGAACTTATGATCTTCTTATGCATAAATCACGCTGTTTTGATAATCGCGGTTGTTTTTTCTTTTGAGAAAAGAGGCCGACCGGTGCGGTCAGCGCGGTCAGCTGCAGTCTGCTGCAGTCTGCTGCAGTCAGTGCGGCAGTCTGAAACAACCCTTCTGGCGGAAATTGTATTGTGACATTTTCCTCGGCATTTCTTATTTCCAGGCAATGATGTTCTCCGCATACTTGCAGCGTTTGTGTGTTGAGACCGTATATTTTGATTCCACCAAGAATGCACTCCGTTTTCAACAATGTTTCTTTGCACGCGCTTGCTTGCGCAAATAGCAACATCGTAATCATAATGTAAAGCCATGCATGCCATGGTAAATGGAAACCGCCTTTTTGTTTTGTCTTTGTATTGTTACATGTGTAATTTTATGTATACTGGATATTTTCTTTTGCTTTCCTAGGCAATCTTTCGCGAAGGTGGTTCTATTTTCTTTCAATGTTTGTTGGTGTCGACTTTGTCTCGTCCATCGGCCTTTCGCAATCGCTCATGTTAGACGAGTCATCCAATTCCATTGGAACAAGCATATTGATTGAGCGGGTGATGCTTTTTTGAGAAGCAGTGCGTAGCTGGACTTCACGTACTTCTCCGTCGGGTCCTTCCACGATGTGAGCCCGACCGATGCACCATGTTTAAACCTTGTTCAGGTTTAATCGCTAATAACCACAAGACAACCTTACAACTGTTTGTGGCGTCAAGATAACATAATCGAATGAGACATAAGTTAGAATTACACATACTATTGCTTGTTTGAAGGGCCGCCTTGCTTGGAGTTGATTTGCTTGTAGGAACAACGACGAGAGAGAATGCCGAAGCCTTCTCTCGGTGCGCCTGGTCGCCTCTGCCCGGCGAACCGCCCCTCATGATAAACGTGATTATCACGACAATCACTTCTGTTTTCAAACTTTGTCAAAGGAAAAAGGGAGTATCATATACTAGTTGACTTTCTCGGTCCAGCCGGGGGCCATTGTTCACCTGCACTGCGAACCACCTTTCCTCCCCCCCTATCATGACTTACAATAACCGGCTAAAAATGTTTACGTCTTTTTGTCTGTGTGTGTCTGTCCGTTACGAAATTCGTAGAGAGTGTTCCAGCCAACGTCCTGAGCCCTAATTTTGCATAGCGCACGCCCACTATGAAAGCTCACTATACAAAAGCATGAGCGGATCCGCTGAGTGGATCCGTTGAAAATGCGCATCAAACGGATCCACTTGGGTTCTGGCCAGCAAATTTAGGTTCGTAGTACCACTTTTTGCAGAGTTATGGATATATTTGACAAGTTAATGTGCAAGCCATGAACGTTAGCCTAAAAAAGTAATGAAAATCAACTACTTTTTGAAAACAGCGCCAAAAAGGTTGGCTGTGTAAACGGTCATTTTTTGAAGAATTTACCTAATTATTTGAGAAGATTTTTGCACAGAGATGTAGCCCACGATGTTCATTGTCCTTATGGCGACTACCAAGCCATAAAAATTCCAAAAAGATTTCAAATCTGCATCTGTTCTTCTGGGAGAGATTTCATACACGCGAAAATACCGATTTCACACGAAAAACCTCTCAGAATGAATAGCTGTTTACGATCGTTTAGTAGCCTACATAGAGTTTCAATGTAATTACTACGTATGCGGGAATGAGTAAGGCATAGATAAAGTAGGGTTAGTGCGCGCCTCTGCGAAGCAGGGTGACGCACTGGTATGTTATAAACCAGGAACTGGGTAGCCAAACCGTCAAAAGGTATACATTCCCGAGTGGAATGGCAGGACCTACCTCTCCGCTGTCATGCGCTTCACCTCCACCCAAACACCTTGCTTTGCCCTGCTTTCCTGCACAGAATACAAAGTGCAAGAGAACCTTTAGGAATAGAGGATTCACTAGGCGACTCACATAAAGTCACCCAAAGCTTCCTAACCACCGTGTAAAAATGAGATCTACCGTCTTCGTTCACATGGCTGTGGTGAGATGACTTGATAGTGACTGCAAGCTTTTATCTTTCTAGTAGTCAGTAACAAATCAATAAATGAAAGGACCCGACGAATTTTTAAGAAAAGTAGCCTAAAACCGTCCCCAGGATGAAGAACATCTGTGCGCAAAGCAGCTCAATCGGTGGGCATTTCTATAAAGCACATACCCTCCAAACTGACAAATTCTGAGTTATATATATACCAGTGCGTCACCTCTGCTTCGCAGAGGCTCGCACTGGTCCTACTAACTGGGGTAGAGGAACGAACGCCTCAATTAGGCATCGCCTCCGCGGGCTGCTGGTCCTTTCGTCCTACTCTTGTGCATCGTGTTGGGACCAGTGGTCCGCGGAGGCGGTGCCTAATTGAGGCGTTCGTTCCTCCACCCCTACTAACTGTACGCTTTACTCTTTCCAGCACAATGATGACATTAAAACTCACCGCGCTATGCGGACTATCAATGATTTGTAAACAGCTATTCATTCCAAAAGCTTTTTCATATGAGATCGGTAATTTCGCATGTACGAAACTTTTGCCAAAAGAACAAATGCAGATTTGAAACGGTTTTTGGACTTTTCACGGCTTGGCATTCGCCATAAGATGCAATAATCAACGTGGGCTACATCTCTGAACAAAAATCTTTTCAAATGATCGAG